GCTTCAAAAGCAGCAAGTGGGGAACGCAGCCTACATCAGCGCAAGCTTTACAGAATGACCTCATTCAGACTATGGCATCTGTGGAAGCAGAAACAATCATTTGTGATATCAGGAGATCCTGACTTTCCCTCTTGTTCTGGCAGCCGGTCCTTAGTAAACAAGAACAGGACTCTGTTTCCAAAATTGCATCTTAAAACAGAACACTCACTATATGGATAAAAGTGGGTAGACTTTAGTGCCCAAGTTCCTAGTGTGTGATTTGAGATTGAAAGAAACTGCAACTTTTCAGAAGTTTTCTCAGAGATTAAAATGGGTTAATAAGTAAAGGCAGTTTAACTTTACTGAACCTATGACTTGCCTCAAACCCCTACCAATTGTTACACAACATGCCTGTGTGTAATCTGCAGTGGAATGGTGATAGATATTCTAATATAATTCCAATTTCTGATGTTATTTGTTTCTTTGTCTTCATAATTACTGTACCACACTGATACAATGTAAATGTTGTTATAAACAGATAATAATGCTGTTTTTAAAAAAATGTTAAATGGCATTGCATTAATTGTATTTTGTACTATCATTTTACTTTATTATTATTTTACTTTATAGCTTAACAAGGAGCATAAATATACCTTGAGTATCAAATCCTTGTGAGCATTGGCTTTTTTCTATTTTGTTGCTTTCCAAAAGAAAAAAATAAGAACTTTTCATTTCAGATTTAACAGAACCATTTCTCTCTGATACATCCTTGGGGAGTTATAACTTGTTTACATTAAAAAAGTCTAAAATCAAGCCATGATTTCATATCCTGTTGTTATGCAATAATAGTTTCACTACATTCTGATTGTCCTTAGCTTGCTGTGGAGAATTGTGAGCCTTAAATGTAGATACCTCTAATCTCTTCTTGGCAATACCCCCCCACACACACACCCCTGGTAATTTTCAAATCATATTCACAGTTAAAAATAGTGGGAATAGGAACGTGGATCTTATTATACCTATTGGATTACATCCCTCTCTTAATCCTTAAAATTTTTGTAGGCTAGGTCAAATCAAGGGCACTGTAACTTTCTTGAATTAAACATGATTGTCTACACTGAATGTGAGCAGTATGTATTTTAGTCCTGGCCTCCATCAGCCTGTTTGAGATGAAATATTTTTGGATTCATTTGATTGTATTTACAACCTAATCTACTAAACTGCTCCATTCTAATGGGAACTGCCTTAGGGTAGGAGTCTAGAGAGGGTGGCCAGTGGGTTGAGGTCAGAATGAGGTTAAACCATGTTAACACATACCAATACAACCCTTCATTGTTCTTTTTCTCTCTTGAGATTTTTTTTTCTCCCTAAATGGCTTGTATTGTCCAGGCCAAACAGCTTTACTTAGCTGTTTCCAGGAGTACTAGGGGGGATGGGATTCCACTGAAGAAACCAATTTAGAGCCATTAGCTTGGATTCAAGGGTGATTTTTGTTTCTTATGGTTGGCTGTTGCAACAGCTAGTTTGGGAGTTGAATTCCAAGCTTGCTCAAAAGGTCTAGTGGTACATTCCTCTGTAAAGAGCCTGCTTGCCGAAGTGCTATATTCCCATTCTGACATAGTTTGATAATATCCTGTATGAATTTGGCAGACCCTAACCAGCCATTAGAGTAGAAACAAGCTGTTGTGTTCGATAATTCAACTGAATGCAAACTTCACTTAGAATCATGCACATGTAAATATGTGACAAGCCTCAAAGCTCTTATTAAGGTAGGGGAGAATCAGTGGTTTAAGCAATTTCCAGAATTCCATAGCATTTTTTAAAGATACATTAAAGCATTTTCTTGACAACAACAGAAATGGTTTGCCACTACTGCTTCTGGGATTATTTACCTTTATTTACACATTTCACTTTTATTGTTTTTCTTTTTTTCTTTTTACTCCATTTTTATTATTTTTATCATTAACTCAAGGTAGCAAACATGCCTAATACTCTTTCCTCCTCCTATTTTCCCCACAACAGCAATCCTGTGAGGTGGTAGGTTGAAAGAGATTGACTGGCTCAGTTACTCAGCTCACTTTCATATCTGAGGCAAGACTAAAACTCAACAGTCTACTGGTTTCTAGACTGGTTTCTTAATCACTAGTCCAAAAAAGTGCATTAAGATTGATCTAAATTTATTAATTAAAGTGTAATTGCTTAAAATATATCTAGAACTATATTGCAAGCAAATGTAATTTCTCCATGTCTGATTTTGGAATCCATTTTTGATGTAATGTATTTAATTTCAGTATAAATGATAATCAGAATTACAGATGGTAAGTACTGGTAACTGTCCGCCAGGAATTATCCAGGACCAAAGACAAGACACAGAAGAATGAAAGAAATAATGTAATCTATAAAATAAATTGTAACAATTGCAACCAATTCTACATGGGACAAACATCACATCCATTAAAAACCAGGATCCAGGGACACTGGCTGGCAATCAAACACCATGATCCCAAATCCTTAATCTCTACCCACACCAACACCAAACATCACCAGTTTGATTGGAGCAACATTAAAACCATCGGCCATGCTACCTGCCGCCACACTCATGAGTTCATCGAAGCCTGTCACTCCACAAACAATTCCATCAACAAATATATTGATCTACAACCAGCCTACGAATCCCTCAGAATCCAAATCCAAATCAATCAGAGACAGTACCAACCCTCAACCAAGCCACGTAAGCCCCCTCCCATCACAAGACCTATCACAAACCTCCCACTGATGACTCACACCTGACCCATCACAAGATCCTCACTTGACACACCCATACCTGAAGTCCTTATAAACAGAAGAGTATTGACACAGACATCCCCTAAACTCCACTGAAGATGTTACCTAGCCTGCTAACGAAATGTCCGGAAACCAACCCACTATCAATTTCTGAAACGAACCCGGTTGAAGGGTTTTTTTTTTTTCATTCTGAGTTGCCACATAGATGTGTGGAGATGGGAAATAGTATTGCTATTCATGTCACTAGACAAACACCAAGCAGTCCAGTGGGAACCATGATCATTCTCATAGGTGCAGGAAGGAGGAAAGACCCAGTAAACCCCCTGGACTGTTACAATACATAGCGGAACCATCCCAGCCCTGGGAAGAAATCGCAATGGATTTTATCATTGAACTTCCTGAAAATAGCGGGAACAGTATGATTTGGACTGTCATCAGCCTTTTTTTCAAAGCACTTTATAGCGTGTCCTGTCCTGTTCGCCCCTCCATTCAGAAACTAGCAAAACCGTTTTTGAAGCATATCTATCAGCTCCACAGAGCTCTGAGAAGAATCATATCAGATTGGGGGGATCCAGTTCACTGCAAAGTTCTGACAGGAGTTTGTGAAGCTGATTGGATCCATTCGGGGTCAGCTCAGCTTTTCATCCGAGTACGAATGGAGCTGCTGAACAAGCGATCAGTGGTGGAGCAATACTTGAGATGCTATGTTAACTAACAGCAAACTAACTGGGCAGACTTTCTGCCTTTTGCTGAAGTTGCATTACAACAATACTGTGCATAGCAGCACCGGTCTTACTCCCTTTAAAGTATCAACAAGCAGGGAATTTGTACCCATGCCAAAATACCCTCAGAAGCCCCCCCTCCCTCCTTACTGATACTAACCGAATGAGTAAACACGCTGCAGAGCACTTGGGCAAATGTTAAACAAGCCTTGGAAAAAGCAGCAAAGATTTATAAGCAGCAGACAGATAAGAGGCGATCTCCCGAGAGGCCATTTCATCTAGGAGAGATGGTCTACCTCTCAACCAAATACTTAAGATTAAAATTGCCTTGTAAGAAGCTGGAACCCAAATTCATTGGTTTTTTCCCATTGTAAAGATTATTAACCTTGTCATGGTTGAGTTAAAGCTCCCACAACTATTGGGGAAAATATATCCAATTTTCCGTTGCAGTTGAAACCAGTTACAGAATCAACCTTGAGACCAACACCTTGAACCACTCCAGAGACCAACATAGTGAATGGTGATACCCATTATAAAATAAAACAGATTCTTGATTCTAGGTTGTACAAGGGGAAATTATAGTATCTAGTTCAATGGAAAGGCTACCCTTTGTCAGAAGCTACCTGGGTAAAGAATAGGAATATAAAGGCAGAAAGATTAATAAATAAATTTCATGCCAAACATCCCCAAAAGTCTAGGGAACCATCAAAAGATTAGCATCACATTAATGTGTACTTATCTTATTATTTTGCAGGAACTCCTTTTCCTTTCGGGGGGGTCCGACCTTCAACTTCTGAAATGAACCTGGCTGAAGCCATCTTTTTCATTCTGCCACATAGATGGGGGGAAGTAGAATTGCTATTCGTGTCGCTAGACAAAACACTATGCAGTCCCGGGGGAACCAAGGTCATTCCTACAAATGCAGGAAGGAGGAGCAAAGACGATTTGAGAATCCCACCAATTGCTTTCATTGTGTAGTGTGATTTCTAGCATAGTTGAGGGGAGGGGAGTGTTACTTTTAATTACTTCGAATCTCTAGGGAAATTTCAGAGTTGGTTTCACTTTTGACAATGCTGATATTATATATCCAATAAATATGTACTTTGAGGAAACTTCAAGCCTCGGAGTTCTGCTTTATGTGGTTTTATTGGTCAGAACCATTGCACCTACAAGCTCGGGGAACGAACCTTCACCCTCATCCTACACCCAAGCTACAGATGTTTATTGCAAACTAAGAAATGTTAACTGCATTTCTTAATAGAAATGGGATTGTTTGTTATTAGTTAAGGGCTATTTTATTGGTTCATTGTGATAATCATTGAGAGAATAAATGTTTTATGAAGAAAGGTGCATTCAGTAGCATGAACCATTTTCCAGTACTTAACAACTGTTATTCAGGGTTCAGGTAGTGTGGTTTCTGGTAAGATAAAGATAGATCTATCATCTCTTTGCTGTTGTCTCGCTTGGATTGAAGGCTGCTGCATTTCAGATTATAATATTTTGTTGGGTTTTCAGAGAAGCAGAGTCCTTCAAGGAGCAAGGAAATGCATTTTATGCCAAAAAGGACTACAATGAAGCATACAACTACTATACAAAAGCCATAGGTGAGAATGAAAAGGAAAGGGATGGGAAGTCTGAAAACTGACCTTTAGGCACACCCAAATGTAGGTCATGAAGGCCTTTATTTCATTCAATTGGAAATGTCTCTATTCTGGTATGTATGAGCTGGCTCAGGTGGATAATTCTTTACAGCAGTCAAATCCAGCATTTTTAATGCAGAAAACCATATAAATGCATACAGAGTAAAGCTTTTTCATGTATATCAATATTTCAGTCTATGTTATATTCTCTGATTTAGGGCTGTTCTAGAGATACAGTATGAATCTAGTACTGTGTATCAAAATAAAAACATTATTAGCATTATTAATGTTGAATAAAAAGTAAAATCTACTTTGTAGAGAGAACAAGTTCAAAATCTTGTAGAATAGCACATAGTTTTATCTTTCTTTTTGAAAATGCCTTCAAAAAGAGACATTTGATATATGGCAGGTGAGTTCTTTTCTGCTTCTAAATGAACACTATTTTCTTGTTTCATGTGCTCCAGATACATGTCCCAGCAATGCCAGTTATTATGGAAACCGTGCTGCCACTCTCATGATGTTAGGCAAATTTCGGGAGGCCCTGGGAGATGCTCAGCAATCAGTCAGAATGGACGATAGCTTTTTGAGGGTATGTGACTCATATGTGTAGCTCTCCTGATCCTCCACCACAGTGGCACGCTTTCATAATTTTCCTATCTTCTTAGGGACATCTAAGAGAGGGAAAGTGCCACCTATCTCTGGGGAATGCCATGGCTGCCAGTCGCTGCTTCCAACGAGTTCTAGAATTGGATCATAAAAATGCACAGGCAGAGCAGGAGGTAAGGTATTGAATACGAGGTTTATCTGAACAGAATATTTGAGGTGCCAGGCTTGGATGATTGATCTGGTTCAGCAGCCCTTGTTTCACTGATAAATGTCTCAAGATATGTTGCACTGGGTTATATTAATTTAGTTAACACTTCTTTTGAATACCGAATTTAAGTTTTAAATTTCATTTTGAATGTATATAGCTATTCCAATCTTTCATTTATACACAGTACATTAGTGAATTAAAAGGTTTGTCCCTTGTCCTGGCAATAAGTCTGTGATTATCTCTACCAGTCTTTGCTTGGTGAGAAAACTTCCTTTTTCTTTTATATACAGAAATTCTGGATTTTCTTTAAAACCCGTCATGTTCTTACTGGAATAATTCTTGTCCTTAAACCACTTCTCCAAATGATTAAAAGCTAATGTACACAATGTATGTACATGACACAATAAAATTTTGTTATTAAGGATAAAATCTACAAGATGATCCCTCCCCTGGTGTGAATTGTTCCATTTTTTTCTTCCATTTGCCTTAATTGCACAGTATTGATCTTAATGACAGTTAATACAATTAGCATGTTATATTAACCAGGTTTTTGAAATTATCTGAATTTATTTAAATGCTAAAAACCAGCATCTGTTGCTCAATCACAGTTTTTTTTTTTAAAAAAATGGGTGATTTTGACAGAAAAGAGACACTTTCAGTTTTAGCTATGTTTCAGAACTTGCTCCAAATTTTGCCCCTTTTATGTCTACAATCAGACACTACGTAAGTTTAAGATAAAGGGGGGAGATCTTTTGGCAGCACTTACGCTTTATCACTGGAGAAGGGTCTATGGCTGGGAAAGATTGAGGGCAATAGAAGAAGGGGACAACAGAGAATGAGGTGGCTGGATGGAGTCACTGAAGCAGTAGGGGTGAGCTTAAATGGACTCCAGAAGATGGTAAAGGACAGGAAAACCTGGAGGAACGTTGTCCATGGGATCGCGATGGGTTGGACACGACTTTGCAACTAACAACAACAACAATGCTTTTTCTGTTAGGCTTAGTCCGATATTTAAAAGTCCCATTCTCAGTAGATTGCTCATGATATCCTTGAGGTTAGAAAACATAGTTTGAGGACCCATGTTGTATTATCATGCTGACTCCTTTAAATGTGGGTTGTAAATGCTTTTGTAAAGAGTTGCTTTGCAGAGAAGCATAACCCTTAGAGTCCTCCAGCAGTATGTATATTATAGAGGAGAGAAATTTTGCCCAGAAGTGCTGTAGCATATCTTAAATATTGCCTGAATATATTCAGGAACATCAGAAGTCATGTATGCTAGAAACCTGATTCTTAATCATATATCCTGAAGATATCCTGGGTATAAGACTTTGTGCATCCTGTATTAGCCTGTATTATTAAGATCATGTTGAAAAGTGATGATTAAATGTTGTTTATCAAAATAGAAATATCATTATGAAGTTCAAATAAATATAACATTTAAAACATTAGACTCCCCAATGTTGCTATCCATCAGATACAGTGAGTACTGCTCTCAGAATTCTGGCTAATAGCTGATTGAGAATCCTGTGAATTCATTCGGTAGTGAAATGCCTGATGCCTTTCATACAGTTAAAATTTACTAATCTGATATGATACCTTCTCTTTCAGCTGAAAAGTGCCAAAACTGTTCTAGAATATGAGAAAATTGCTGAAGTTGACTTTGAAAAACGGGACTTCCGAAAGGTGATAAAGATTGATTGATGTGTATGTATGTGTGTGGAATGAGGTGGAGAGAGAGGGAGGGAGGGAGAAAACATTTTTTAATTTTGCCTAATTGGGGCCATGAGGCTCCTTTCTTTCTTGCTCTTACATTTACTTAATCTCATCCTTTTCATAAATGGGAAACAAGTTTGTTTGTTTTTTCAGACCACAATCTCCCTCTCCTTTTTTGTCTCTTCTGAGTAATATTTTTTCTTAATTGCTCTTCAGCAAGATGGTATTGTTGCTTAGCCCCACTCTTTCAATGTTAAGTCCTCTGTCTGACCTAGTGAATTCTTACTATGCTGCTTTCTAATTGCCAAGAGCAGCTGGTTCACCAGAGACAATCAGAAGTTTGTCTTAAGGAAGAAATCTGCCTTGTCTTGAGCAAGCTCTATCTAGGCTTCTCTGTCCCTTATGCAGTATCAAACATGTCCCTTGTTTCTGGAGAAGAAACTCCTCCTTTTTATGGCTCCATCATCTGGAGTGTCTCTGCACTTTCCACAGCACCCAGTGGTGATGTCACCAGTGAGAAGAATTGGGGGAAGGGAATTTGAGAATCCAGCTGAGCCTCAAACCAACAATGTCCTCTTCATATACAGCTGAGAGACCATGAGAACACTCACTGAGGCCTGAAATTTGGGTTCATCATTTGCATTGTAGCTGCTGCTTCATTGAAGCCACTTTTATCATTTTCAGTTTCTTAAGTTTCCAGTGCAGTGTTTCTCAAAATTTCTGCAATCATAGGATACTAAATAAACATTCAGAAAAATGAGAGGACAACACACATTTTCATTTTTAAGACCAGAGGAATTAACACTTTCAGATGAATAAGATAAAATTGGTGGTTGCCTTTGTGTATGCCTTCCCATCTTTTCCATTCTTAAATGTTTTTAAAATGAAATTTACAGCAGAAAAAGTATTTACCTTTTGAGTTGTCTTATATGTTCCATGCCATAATAACAATTTTTAGCACAAATTTGCTGAGAAATTATATTCAGTAGAAATCTGAATTCTGAGAGCTTAGGGGCAAGTGGATCTTCAGCTCAATGAACTCCCATTTTTCTCATCATTGTCTACCCCATCAATGCATTTCTTTTGGGTTGCTTGAGTGGTGACATAATTCCACTTAGCAGTATATATTTAAATTCATTATGGGTAATTAACTTAAGATCAATTTGCTATTATCCATTTTCTGAATGTTGATGTTTACTTTTTCCCTTGAATTATGCTTATATTTCAGTGAATCAAGTTTTTTCAGTGATTCAAAAATCATTTTACTGGTGGGGGGAAGTGGAGACTAATATAGTGAACAAGCTGCCTCTGTGAAGGGAGGCAGGGCTGTGACAAGTGAGCAGGCTTGTCCCATGAACAGAGAAGCTGTGACAGATAAACTAGTGGACTTATGCAGATTCAATTCTAGCACTCATTACTTCTTTGGAAATAATGGAGACGGTACCATCCCTTATTATTTAGAAAAGCTTTTATCCCAGAATACAGACGTATGCAAAATAGATACTGATGTATTATTAAGCCATATCTGTCCTGGTCACATAGAAGTTGGGGCAAAGACTGAAAGTGGTCTAGATCAGTGGTTCTCAACCTGTGGGTCGGGACCCCATTTGGGGTCGAACGACCATTTCACGGGGGTCACCAAACAAGGCTGTCCGCCATTTTTTCCCCCTTTGGCCATGCCCCTGGCACCCACTGATGTATAAGTGGTTGGGGGTCACCACAACATGGGGAACTGTATTATGCGGTTGCGGCATTAGAAAGGTAGAGAACCACTGGTCTAGATGAAGAGTATGGGAAGTAGATAGTAATCTATAGCTTATGTATTTTTTTTCTTATTCCCCCCCCCCAACACCAGGAGAAATATTCCGAAAGAAAAACTTCTAAATAGCAAAGATTTATCTACTATTATCTATTGTCCATATTCATGTTTTGCATCTTTAGGTAGTACTCACAACCCCCCTCCCCCATTTTGATATTGTGGCATACTTGGGTTTAGGTTTATTTTGCTCTCAAAACAAATTCCACCCAATAATTTCTATGAATAAAGACTGTGTGCTTCACCTGTTAGTACTTCTGGGAATGACTACGTGCATATTTTCAACCAAGCATCATTTACAAAATAAAGAAATTCTTATGCTCTTCCAAGAGTAATTAATAGATTGGAGGTTATTGTTGCATAGTGAAAAGGCTTGATTCATGTAATTTTCCACAGGAATATCCTGAAGATCAGATCTGCAGAATAGCCTCCCCTTACCTGTTTTTGGGGGGTGGATTTCCCACTGCTGCTAGGTAGAAAAAAATGAAATCAGGTATTACATGTGAATGGCCTTAATCGGTGACTACTAGCAGTTTAGTTACTTGGGGGGAGGGGGTATTTGTGCATCTTAAACTTCTCTATATGCTCTCATAAAAAGGTTCATAAGATTTTTGGGAGAGGCTGAGCTTTGGTGTTTGAAAATTAGTACCATTTCAAAGCCTTAGGCTAATTTGCAAAAGATATGCATCCTGCGCAAAAGACCCTTTTTGCAGATCTATAAGTATTCTTATTTTATAATCTGTGAAATAAATCAGATTTCAAACTTACTGTGGTATGTTTCTCCCTTGTCAACATTGTCCATAGTAACCAATATTGTGGTATGCTACCCCTGAACATATTGACTCTTATTTAGTTATTAGGACCAAAAGCTGCTGAGAGATACATACATTATCCATATGCTTTATGAATTATGAGTTAAATGGAAAAGATACTAATTTTTGCCTGTCCTGAATTTGATTTCAGAGCAGAACTCCCAACTATTACTGATTATTCAAGTTGCATGCATATCTTCAGCAGGCATAAGGTTGCCTTCAAACCAGTATCTAAGTTTTTGTGTTCTGTTTTTTTTTTTCTCTCTCTTTTGTGTCTATTTCCCAGGTTGTCTTTTGTATGGATCGTGCTCTAGAATTTGCCCCTGCCTGTCACCGGTTCAAAATTCTAAAAGCAGAATGTTTAGCTTTGCTAGGTCGCTATTCTGAAGCCCAGTCTGTTATAAGGTAAGAACTATAACAGATTTGATGGGAAAGCCTATATGTATAAATAATAATGTAGTTAATACTGAGGGCAATAGTTCATGTTCCTGACTCTAACAAAAAGACTGGAACTCTGCTTTTGCATTATCTAGTATTGAGAAGACACATTGGCACCCAAAACAATTTTTATTTCTCTAAATTACAGTGGAGTCTATGTTTGTTTTTGCTTTTTTCATTTTTGCAAAAACTACGGTTTTTAAAAATATTTAAAAACTGGGATATATTGTGAAAAGAAAAAGATAGGAAAGGAGAGGAATGGAAATCAAATGAACTAATGGAATGGTCCTCAAGTAATTTTAGGAGAATCAAACAACGATATGAATAAAGGTACTGAGAAATAAATTCAACTTGTTGTTCAGAAATGCACAGTCACAAAAAGAGAGTGTGAGTCACAGCTAACTTTGGCATAACACTCTGCTCTTCCCTGTTAAGCTGAATTTCCAGATGACCCACAAAGACAGGATAAAGACAACTTCAATCCTGCCTGAACAAGTTCACTATTCTAATCATTTCATTCTGCATCAGGTTCAGAATTTACAGCAAATTGGAGAAATTAGTGTTTAATGAAAAATGAACAATGAACAATTAGTGTGTATAATTGACTAAAACATTTTTAGTTCTGAGGTATCTTTGTGTCCACAGAAAGCAAAATAAAATGCAGTAGGAGCCTTCAAAAATTGTTAAGTACACCACCCCAAAGTAGTTATGTGAGATGGGCTATACAAATGTGATTATAAATAAAAATGCTCATGTGTATACTTGTTTTGAAATTGACAGAAGGGAGCTGGGATGGAAATGGTCCACTAGAATAAAAGCAAAAAAAGACCAGTGTCAGGAATTAGAGAAAAGGAAAGACAAGTGGACAGCTAGAAAGGATGCTGTCCTTGCTTGGAAACTGCAGAAGTGAGGCATCATATATTGATTTGAAATACATATTTGTTATGCTACAAGTTCTTTACAGTATTGGTGTCTTGGTTTGAGAGTAAGAATGTACCCAGCTCTGTTTTTGTCCTGTGATTTTTTTTCCCCTGCTCCTGCGCTCTGTATTTAGCGACATCTTGCGAATAGATGCAACAAATGCTGATGCTCTCTATGTCCGAGGGCTTTGCCTTTACTATGAGGACTGCATCGAGAAGGCTGTGCAGTTCTTCGTCCAGGCACTAAAAATGGCTCCTGACCACGATAAAGCCTGCCTTGCCTGCCGTGTAAGCATCAAAAGAAATGCTGGGGAGATATATGGGTTTTATGACAGGCCTGGGTGGGGTGTGGCTTTTCAAATCTTGCTGATTCAGAACTCCAATGTTCAGTGATGAAGGATGCTACTAGTTACCGCATCCTAAGAGTTGCTAAAAATGTTTTAAATAAATACTTAAAAGATGCAGAGGTTCAACTCTGACTTACCCGATTTTTTTCAGAGTGCTCCGAGGAATTACTTTAGAAATCCTAAATTTCACACCATGTTCAAGAGACAATAGATGGTGGTAGCAGCTAGAAATCTGCTTTTGCTATTACATTATTAAAGCAGGTGCCAAATTAAGTATTTTCAAGTAGAGAAGAAGAAATGCTGTCATCTGCATAATAATCTCTTTTCTTCCAAATATTATTAATTGCTTCATATTACACAACTTTGATAATGTATTGAGATGTGCCCAAAACATTTCTCTCTATTTGCTAGATCCTGAGATTGGGAATTGAGTAATTCTTCAATAGAAATATTTATGCGAGTTAGCCAATTAAGATTTGCTAAGACAGCCCAAGGTTTTTTTTTAAATTACTCAAAGACTTTCATTATCTTTTGACCCACTTCTTCCTTCAGAATGCCAAAGCACTGAAAGCAAAGAAAGATGATGGTAACAAGGCTTTCAAGGAAGGGAATTACAAGCTGGCCTTTACACTTTATACAGAGGCTCTAGCAATAGATCCAAACAACAGGAAAACCAATGCCAAACTCTATTGTAATCGTGGAACTGTTAATTCCAAAGTAAGTGCCCAGGTAGAGTCTTTTTTTTTTTTAGATCAGGAATCTCTGAAGCCTTCTAACACAGTTTTAAATGTGGGAGACATTACCTCAGATCTCTCCTTATTGCAATGTGTAATACAAAAGGGCTTGAAGAATTCTTTTGACCTTCAGTTGTAAAAGATCATGAAGGCCACATTGGAAGCAGTCATCTCACCACTGAAACCTGAAATATCAAACATGAGAAATTGTTTGGAATAGCAATGCCTCTATGTTTGCTTATTTATTTAAATCCTTACAAATCTTATTATAGGTCAGAGAGTTGAACCACAGTGGTGCCAATAGCATTTGTTCTAGCTGATCTCTGGATTTACAAGTACTGTATCTGAGTGATTTGGGTTTAGCTCAAAAGCAATTTGATTACTAATAAATGTGGAAAGTGGAGATAGGGTCTCTTTAATTTTTAACTCTGCTGTTGTGCTATGTTTGATGCTGAAACTGAGTAGCACAATGTGATCTTTTTGAGTTAAGCAAGCAGTATTTTTAAAAACCTGAAAAATATTTTGGAGATTAACAGAATTGGTGAAATAAGAATAAAATCAGAAAGTCATTCTACAAACATTCAAGGATACAAAGAAAATCACTAAATATAGAAGACATTATATTTTTTTGCCTCTTGCATTTTAAAGTTCCCCAAAATTATCAAGTGCTTAATTCATTTGGCTGTTCATTTCTACAGCACTGGGAACAGCAGGAAAAATATAATAGCCATTGTAATCTGTTCCAGCAAATAAAATCTCTGATAAGAACAAATGCTGATAATTTTGCAAATGAGGTCAAGATGACTATTTCCTTGAATCAGCTTAAATAGCTGCCAACCATCCACATATATTTTTTCTAGAATGTGTTACATTTGGATGACCTCTTCAATAATTCATTCTTCTTTTAGGAAACAATACTTTTTAAGGTTTGCACTATGCCAGGGCTTTTCAATCTTTTCACCCATTGTACCACTTTTAGGATATGGCAATATCTGAGTACCACCAGTTGCCTAGCAAGGTGTCAAAAACTTGATGACCCCCCCCCAAAAAAGGAAAAAAGTGATAAAGCACAGGTAGTCCTCGACTTACAACAGTGACTGTTCGAAGTTACAATGGCACTGAAAAAAGTACCCCCCAAGCCACAGCCGAGCAAGACACCTGCCTGCCTGCCCGGAAGCGCTCTTCCTCCTGTCCGAGGTTTTCATTGTTGTGAGCATTTCTGTTGAGGATTGGCAGCGGGGGTGGGATGGGTGTTTGGTTTTTATTCTCCCCGTGTGCTGGGTGGTTGCAGGAGGTTTTGGTCACTTCACATGACCCTGGGACACTGTGACCGTCATAAATATGAATCAATTGCCAAGCATCTGAATGTAAATCAGAAGACCCTGGAGATGCTGCAACAGTCCAGCTGATTAGCGCTTCTTGGGCTCAGCAGAAGCGCCAGGATCACTGCTGCTTTCCAGCTCATTGGTGCTTCTTCAGGGCTCAGCAGAAGCACCAGGATCAGTGCTGAGCTCCAGCTGGAGCCTGGCGCTGATCCTGGCACTTCCACTGAGCCCTTACAGCCCCGAAGCGCTAATCAGCTGGAAAGCGGCACTGATCCTGGCGCTTCCATTGAGCCCTGACAGCCCTGCAGCTCCAGCCATCTCTTGCTCAGGCTTGTGCAATGCTGCGCCGGTTCAGCTCACTCCCTTCCCCCACCACTTTTCTAGGGTGGTCGCATACCACCTGCCAGATGCCAATGTACCACAGGTGGTACCCGTACCACTGGTTGAAAAGCCCTGCACTATGCAACCGTATTATGATTTTGTTATTCCAAATTGTTTAGTTTTTCTTTTTGAAGAGCGAATAATACCTCACAGCAAGAATTTGAAGCAAAACAGATTATAGAGCAGCCAAATCTACCTTGTCCCACTGATTGTGTAGGGCTATGAGAATTATGTGAATTACATGAATTTGATGATGATGATAATAATAGAAATTTAAGTTGAGCAATTGTGGAGGAAGAAATCAGTGGTTGTACCAATAGTAATAGGAGCCTTTGGAGCAATAGCCAAAGGATTGCCTAGATACTTGGAAATTTTGAACTTATCAGACTTGAATATTCTGACATTGCAAAAAACAATCTTACTTGGAACTGCCTGTAGCAAGGGAAAAAATTATTTGAACTCCTGCTGATTTTGTACGTTTGCCCACTGACAAAGAAATGATCAGCCTATAATTTTAATGGTAGGTTTATTTTAACAGTGAGAGACAGAATAAGAACAAAAAAAATCCAGAAAAACACATTTCAAAAAAAGTTATAAATTGATCTGCATTTTAATGAGTGAAATAAGTATTTGATCCCTTCACAAAATATGACTTAGTACTTGGTGGCAAAACCCTTGTGGCAATCACAGAGGTCAGACATTTCTTGCAGTTGGCCACCAAGTTTGCACATATCTCAGGAAGGATTTTGTTCCATTCCTCTTTGCAGATACTCTCCAAGTCATTAAGTTTTCGAGGTAGACATTTGGCAGCTCACAGCTTCAGCTCCCTCCACTGATTTTCTATGGGATTAAGGTCTGGAGACTAGCTAGGCCACTCCAGGATCTTAATGTGCTTCTTCTTGAGCCACTCCTTTGTTGCCTTGGCCATTTGTTTTCGGTCATTGTCATGCTGGAATACCCATCCATGACCCATTTTCAATGCCCTGGCAGAGGGAAGGAGGTTCTCACCCAAGATTTGACGGTACATGGCCCCGTCCATCGTCCCTTTAATGAGGTGAAGTTGTCCTGTCCCCTTAGCAGAAAAACACCCCCAAAGCATAATGTTTCCTCCTCCATGTATGACAGTGGGGTTGGTATTCCTGGGGTCATGGGCAGCATTCCTCCTCCTCCAAACATAGCGAGTTGAGTTGATGTCAAAGAACTCGATTTTGGTCACATCTGACCTCACTTTCACCCAGTTCTCTTCTGAATCATTCAGATATTCATTGACAAACTTCAGACGAGCCTGTACATGTGCTTTCTTGAGCAGGGACACCTTGAGGGCGCTGCAGGATTTCAGTCCTTCATGGCGTAGTGTGGTACCAATTGTTTTCTTGGTGACTATGGTCCCAGCTGACTTGAAATCATTGACAAGATCTTCCCATGTAGTTCTGGGCTGATTCCTCCCCATTATCATCATCATTGCAACTCCACAAGGTGAGATCTTGCATGGAGCCCCAGACCGAGGGAGATTAAGAGTTATTTTGTATTTCTTCCACTTGTAAATAATCGCACCAGCTGTTGTCACCTTCTCACCAAGCTGCTTGGTGATAGACTTGTAGCCCATTCCAGCCTTGTGTGGGTCTACAATTGTGTCCCTGACATCTTTGGGCAGCTCTTTGGTTTTGCCCATGGTGGAGAGTTTGGAATCTGTTTGATTGATTGCTTCTGTGAACAGGTGTCTTTTATACAGGTAACAAGCTGAGACTAGGAGCACTCCCTTTAAGAGAGTGCCCTTAAACTCAGCTCGCTACCTGTATAAAAGACACCTGGAAGCCAGACATCTTGCTGATTGATAGAGGATCAAATACTTATTTCACTCATTAAAATGCAAATCAATTTATAACTTTTTTTGAAATGCATTTTCTGGGGGGTTTTTTTTGTTGTTGTTGTTATTCTGCCTCTCACTGTTAAAATAAACCTACCATTAAAATTATAGACTGATCAGTTCTTTGTCAGTGGGCAAAGAACAATATACAAAATTAGCGGGGGATCAAATAATTTTTTTCTTCACTGTATATACTCAGACGTTACTTTAACAGCTCTTAGATCCTTGGTTAGGACTTGAACTGTTAAGTTTTACTAGTCCCAGACTGTGAATTGAATTGAAGTCTAAATCTTAAATAATAATAATGATAATGATGACAATGAATAATGCCCTTTAATCCATGCAGCAACATTGACAGACTCTATTACCAAGGCAAATAGATGGGCATGGATTGTTGCAAGTACATCAGATGGTTGAAGAAGAAAAAAAAGCTTTGGAAGAATATCTGAAGGACAGTGAAGAAGATGCACTGAAGTTAGTATGCTGGGAAGGCTTACTGAGTATTGAAGAGTCCAAACTAGCCTACAAGAAAGACCAAATGCAGAACAGAATGGAGGCATGGGAAGACAAAGCACTTCATGGCCAGTCCATTAAAAAAATAACAAGAAAAGTAGATAATAACAAGACCTGGCAATAGCAAAGGTAATAGCTAAGAGCAGGAAAGTTGAAGAAAGAGACTGAGAAGCTAATTCTGGCTGCACAAGACCAAGCCTTAAGGACAAATGCATTCAAAGCCAGAATTCAGAAAACAGAAACGGACAGTAAGTGCCATTTAAGCAAAGAAGCTGAAGAAACAATGGACCACCTAGTAAGCCGCTGCAAGAAGATTGCCCAAACTGACTACAAGCAGCGACATGACAAAGTAGCAACAATGGTACAGTGGAAGATCAGCAAGAAATATCATTTGTTTGCGTGTAAGAACTGGTGGGACCATTAAATAGAGAAAGTCATAGAAAACAAAGAAGTTAAATTCCTCTGGGACTTTAGAATTCAAATAGACAGGCACCTGCCATGTATCACCTCAGATTTAACCATTGTCAATAAGAAAGACAAAAAAGTCTAGATAGTGGATGTGGCAGAGCCTGGAGACAGCAGAAGAGAAAGAATGAGAGAAGATAACAAAATAGAAATAGAACAACTGTGCAAAGATAAGCAAGAGTAATACCAATAGTAATAGGTGCCTTGGGTGCAATCCCAAAACAACTGGAGCATCACTTGAATACCATCAGCATTGACAAATTTGCCATCAGTCAGTTACAAAAGATGGCTGACAGCTTCCATTCTGCGACAATATCTATAACAACATAAAACATTCAGATCTGCCTATCCCAGATCTTTAACAGTTCTTAAGTCCTTGGTTAGGACTTGAACTATTAAGTTTTTACCAGTCCCAGACTGAATTGAATTGAAGATTAAATCAGTAGTAGTAGTAGCAGCAGCAGCAGCAACAGCTCAAGATCAAGACTGTATGCATAGATTCTGGTTGAAATCACTAACAAGTTTGCATGCAAGATTAGCAAACCAGATGAATCAGGATCTGGAAACACCAGAAAAGTAAAAAATGGCTATCTAGAAAATAAGGATATATTACCTGTAGAACAGAAAGATGCTGCAAAAATTCAAGAGGAACCAAAGACTAACTGATGATTGATAAATTGGTTTTGTAGAATTCAAAGAAAAGACTAACCAACATGTTCATGGCCTAGATTGATTATAAGAAAGCATTTGATTCTATTCCACACAGTTGGATTGAGAAATGCTTAGATATTTTTGGAATTAGCAGCAACATCCAAAAATTCTTGAAGTCTTCCATGAAGCTAGGGCAACCTAAGTTGATAGCCTGTGGAGAAGAACTTGGTGAAGTTGAATCAAATGAAGAATTTTCCAAGGCGACTCATTGTTACCTGTGTTATTTGTACTTTCGATGATAGCACTAACAAACATTTTGAACAAAACAAGCTATGGCTATGAATTAGCTTAAAAAGGGTTAACATTTTCCCATTTGCTCTATATGGATAACTTAAAACTGTTTGGAAAAACAAAAGCTAAATTGCTGCTCATTGCTGAAAAGCACCAAGGAGTTTAGCATAGACATTGAGATGCAATTTGGTATTGACAAATGTACAACAATTGCTGTTAAGGCAGGAAACATTGTTGAAGATGATGGATTCACACTTGATAATGAAGAGTTGATAAAAGCAGTAACACCAGAAGAAGGGTACAAGTACTTTGGAAGCGTCTGACCTGTTGAACAAGTCAAGGAAGTTACTTCAATGAAATACATAAAGTGATTCTGTAAAATCTTGAAATCAAAGCTAAGTGGAGGAAATATCATAAAGGCAATTAACACCTGGGCAGTGCCTATAATACGAAACTCAGCTGGAATAATTGATTGTACTTAACTAGAACTTGATAACTTGGATCAAAAGTAAAGAAAATTAATGATAATGCACAGTGCTCTCCAACCAAAAAGTGATATTGATTGATTGTACTTGCCTAGATGTCAGGATGGCAGAGGATTCTTACAAATGAAACAAACTGAAAGAGGAAAAACACAGCTTAAATGACTACATAAAAAAGCAAAAGAGTCTCTGCTGAAGGAGGTGAACAAGGGAAACCTCTTGAAAACAATGAGATTGAAAACAATATTGAAAGGAACCAATTGAGCATTGAGTTTCTAACTGGAAAAAGAAGCCTATGCACAGTCAATACCTGAAGGACATTAAAGGGAAAACTAACATGGAGATAATTGAGATCAGAGGTGCTGAAGAAGAACAAGCCCTGTAGATCAATTCCATGAAATCAAAAATTCAACATGTCAGTAACCACAGCAAATGTCACTTATGCAATGAGAAACATGAAACAGTGGATCATCTTATCAGTGGCTACAGCAAAATCTCATAGACTGATTATCTACAACATCATGATCAAGTTGCCAAAAATCATAGATTGGAAGCTTTGCCGCAAGCTTAGGTTTGAATCTAGAAAAAATTACTGGGAATACCAAATTGATAAAGTTCTTGAAAATGATATCTGGTCCACAACACGCCTGACATCACTATTGTGGAAAAGAAAAAAAACTCTGGTTCATTGATATGGCAATACCAGGTGATGCACGAATTGAAGAGAAACAACTAGAAAAAATAATGAAATACCACACTCTGCAAATTGAACTTGAGCGATTGTGGGGGAAGAAATCAATGGTTGTACCAATAGTAATAGGAATCCTTGAAGCAATACCCAAAGGGTTACCTAGATACATGGAAATTTTGAATTTATCAGACCTGAATATTCTAATTTTTGTGAAAAACCACCTTACTCAGAACTACCTATATATATACTCAGACATTACCTTAATAACTCTTAGATCCTTGGTTAGGACTTGAACTGTTAAGTTTTTACCAATCCCAAACTGTGAATTGAATTGAAGATTAAATCATCACCACCACCCCCATCATCATTATTATTATTATTATTATATTAGGATATGTGCTAAGGGATCAAAAAGCCATGATCTAAACTCACTTAGGGACCTGTTAAAGCAAATGAAGATTGAAGTTGAGATGTATTGCTTTCTACTCTTAGAGACTAAAAATAATGCCAAAGGATTTAGTTCCTAAGCTTGGTGTTTGCCTTCCAGCTTGGAAAGTTATGCGAAGCAATAGGAGACTGTACAAATGCTATCAAACTGGACGACACATACATCAAGGCCTATCTAAGAAGAGCACAGTGGTAAGAATGAGCATCTAAAATTGAATACCTGACTTAGTAATTAAAAAAACAATTATTTTAGACAGAACAAAAAATGGTGTCGGGAGCATATCATTAAAAAGAACAATTCCAAATAATGCTGGGAAAGACTAGTCTAATCTAAGAAGTAATGAAGATACTAAATCTTTTGATTTAGAATGTCCTGATACCAAATATTAGCTGAGTGAATTGACTGAATTGGGAAGAATATAAAGGTAATCCTTATTTAGCAACCTCAACTAGGTTGCTGAATGTTAATGTTCAACTTTCCTTTGCTGTACAGACCTGCTGAGGTCATAAATATGAGGAGTGAGGAGCATTGTGATTCACATGGTTAGGATGCTGGATTGACAACTAGCAAGCCTGTGTTTGAGACCCAAGTATTGCTGTGTATAGGGCGAGCTCCATTTGCTCCAGCTCCTGCTGACCTAGCAGTTCAAAAGAAAGTAATTACGAGTAGATACCATTTCCATGAGCACCTTAATGGGGGCGTGAAAGGAGCCCCCCATAATGTCACCAGCTAATCCTTTCAACCAGGAAGCGAATGGGATGGGACAGAACGAGATCTTCATAATTGCAAGTGGTTGCTAAATGAGACAATTGCTAAACAATAAAAAACATCTATTTTCTTTTTGAAAAATTTCTCCATGTACTTTCACTCTCTCATTTTTACGTTGAGAAGTTTAGAACTATATTCTTGCTTCTTCTCACTCTAGATTTCATTCCAAACCTTTGAGATAATTGGGGTTAAAATGCACCAGATCAAAACTATTCCATGAATTTCTGCTAGAGTCAGCTGCAGTACTCTGTTGATTCAGGTGATTTAGAAATTAGGCCATGTTGCTCATCATACCAAATTTTATTTCCTGTAAATTACTTTTCTATACAGTACAGTACTTCCTCCCTGACTTGGTAGGTAAGTAGAGATTGCTTATAGCTGAAAAATGGGTTAGGAGAGGTTTCTCCTTCCCTTTAGATCAAATCATTTTCTGATTTTTTTTCTCATTTAATCTGTTGTAATTTGTAGTTTGTTTTGAGATTTATAAGGTTAATTATGCTTCTGCCTAGTTACATGGACACAGAGCAATATGAAGATGCTGTGAGAGATTATGAAAAGGTTTACCAGACAGAGAAAACTAAAGGTAAATATAGAACATTTACTTCTGGACTTGACTGGCCTTTTATAATATTTATTAGCTAATCCAGGTTACTACAACTTTTATAGTGGTTAAGGATGATGGGTACACTAGCTCAGTATTGCTTAAAAGTGGTCCTAACTATTATTTTCAGACAATTTTACTTGACTTATATCACACTTTTTTCACTCAGGAGCTCAAGGCAGCATGCATAGTGCTCGCTCCTGTTTTTTTTCACTACAACAACCCTGTGAGGTAGGTTTGTCTGAATGAGAGCAATTGAGCAAAGTCAGGCTTTCATGGCTAGGGCCACTCTGGAGCCTGGATGGTAGCAATTATATCTCACTGACTTCTTCAGTCTGAGTTTCCTTGGTATTTAAGACATATTAGATAACCCAAGACCTATTGGTTCATTCTTTCAGAGATATTTACTTACTTACCACTTGCCCACTTCTGTGCACACATTCCCTGACCCTTTCTACACTTTCCTCACGCTGTTTCACAGTTCCATGCACCTTCCCTAACCCTTGCCACAGCACCTGTGTGCGCTAATCTTCCCTCACAACCTCACACCCCTCCATCTCTATGCACCCCCTCATTCACTCCTCCATCCAGCAGCCATTTACCTACTTGCTAGCCTGAGATTTCCAACTTCCTGCCAGCTTCCCCAATGATTTTCCTTGTGGAAAGCTGGCAGGGAGCATTAGAAATGATGATCACATGACTGTGGCAGCCGAGTTTCAGTTCTACTGGAATGATAGATCTCAGGTTTTGGACACATTATTTAAGTTACCCCATTTGAGGTACTTTGATTCTAAAATGATTGCCCTATCACGCACAGTTTCACCCAATTAAAGATTACAAATAGGCAAACAGGAGATTTTTAGTAGTATATAGTTAGATTCCAGACAAACAGCTGTTGGTAGTTCTAATTTATCCCCTTTTAAAAATAAACTAAATTGGGAGCCATCATTCTACCTAATGACAACAAATCTTAACTATTGTATATTGCATCAAAATGTACTTTATTAGTCCTGAATTTCCCCTTATTTAGCCTGCTTGGAGGAGAATTGCATTCATTGTGTAATTTGTTCTTGCAGCTAAAAACGTTTCCCTCTCATATATTGTAGAACACAAACAGCTACTCAAGAATGCACAGATGGAATTGAAGAAGAGTAAAAGGAAAGATTATTACAAGATCCTGGGTGTGGATAAGAATGCCTCTGAAGATGAAATTAAAAAAGCATACCGGAAACGGGCCCTAATGCATCACCCAGGTACAAAAAAAGTTGCCCGAGTTCCACTGTTAACTCTTCAGAGATTCTTTAACTGAGGGAACTAGAATGTCATGACAGGAATATACAGCCTTTCTTACAAAGGCTCCTCTGTTGTCTGCTTAGTGCAAGACCCTCCTCTCCCCTTTTTTAACATTGCCCAAGCTTTGATTGGGTGAAAAAGATGGGATGAGAATGTAATTGTCTCAGAAGACAACATTGCTGGACTTTTGAGCCATTACAGGAATTGTGATTATCATTGTGCTAGGAGTTTAACTAGTAAGTGATACAAATAAAATATTCAAAAAGGTGCATTGATATGAGTTTTTTTGATACTGCTACATTTTCAGTAAAGTTCAAGAAGATAGAACAAGTGACTTGAGGACTTTTTTTTTGTTTTTCTTCTGACTAAGTTGTTGAGTTCCAACTTCTCTGAACTGAGGATGCTCAGCAACGAGTCCTTTCAATAGGAGCAAGAAGAGAATATTCAAAAGTACTGAAGAAGATTGTTTAGAAAGTGGCATGATGCAATTTCAATTTTTACAGTTCTATTTGAAATGGAATAATTGCTCCATTGTCATCCTCTACAATTCTCTCAACACAGTTATGTACAATACACTATAAAACAGATGGTTTCACGCCATCCCCTTAGTGCTACATGGCCTTTATCCAAGTACATTTAAAGAACTCAAATATAAAATTCCTAATATTTTCACAAAAATATAATACTGAAATAAACTTTCAGATGAAAAGTTGTAATAGTTCCAAAAGAGCCAGGAAACTACAGGTAGTCCTTGAGTTACAATAGTTCACTTAATGATGGTTCAAATTTATGACAACCCCCCCCCTCAAAAAAAACCTATTTAAAAAAACAGTCCCAAAGTTACGAATGTTGCAGCACCACAGCAGTCGTTCACTCCTATGACCGAGCATAGAGATGCTGCACCCCTGCAGGTCTCTGTTCTCCATGCCAAAAGCCTTGAGCAAAGGGGACAGAAACTTGGGGAAGGTGCGAAATCGTGCCCCCAAAAGCTCCTGTCTTTGCAAAAAGCTTTTTGTGTGAAGAACGGAGGTTTGCAGCTTTTTGCCAAGAGGACTGAAGACTCCATTTTTTGAGTGCTGGGAGAAGAGAAAGAAACCATAGAATCTGGAGAGACTTGATCATCAAGATCTTTGAAAGATAAGTGATTCTTCGTAGGCCCAGTACCTGTGGAGACCCGGTAGGACAGGATGGGGGATGGGGAACACGAGATACTTCAGTGGGTCAGCAGAGGCCTTGGGTGTCAGAAGCACTAGGCCTTCCATGGTCTTCCCCACCCTGAGATACCTCATGTGCAGTTAATGACCTGTGTGTTCAATTAACAAATGCATTGGGTAAAACAGGGAGAGATCATGTTCATTTAATATGATCCAATTAACAAATCCTCGAGAATTATCTCTATAGGGTTGTGATCTTGACTTGCTCCAGAGTAGAAAATATTATTGCCAATAGTTGTTAAAAGAAAAATTATTGCTGAGACTAAATCAGCTTGACTCCTGCCAAAAAACATTTGCCTCATCGAAGGATCAGAGGCTCCTATTAATGTATGACAAAATGAGCAAGCTTCAGTTACGGAATGATGACATTATGAAAGATAATAGAGCTGAAATTTAGTTGCTAAATGATGTAATATGACAGAAAAAGAGCAAAAATGCTCTGTAACTATAGGCTTTTCTCCTACTCTTTTTTTCTCTCCATCTGGGTTTGAAGAAAAATAGTTATAAGACTCTACCATGCATTGCCTTGTCACTTATGACATGAAGGCAATTTTCAGCATGTTCTTTGAAGCTACGAGATTTTGAGGTTTTCCATTTCCACTCAGCATCTGGAATTGCCAACTTTCCTTTAATAGCCATGAAATCCTGCCACCAACCCCAAATTCTCCACTATTCTTTTGAGGGCAGTTTTATTTCTGCTGTTGCTCATTAGCTAATTGGAAATTTGTTTATATTCATTATTCCTGGTCATGAAAAGCCACACGGTAAGAAAAAAAAATAAGAGAAACAATGGGAGATTGGAACTCCAGGGTGGAGATACTCACGCAAACTAAAGCTCCTTGTAGAGGGTTTGTGGGTGAGTTCAGTGCAAGTGCATACATTAATCTCTCAAAAGCCATAGATCATTCTTTATTTCTGTTTCTTAGGATAACACTCTTTCTAGTTGCAAATCCCTGTTGTTATTTTTTTTTGTCCTTGATAATGGAACAGGTTTTTTTTTCATTCCAAGTTATTCATTTAGAACATTATGAAGAATTGTTACAATTCTCACTATACAATTGTACCCCACTTATCTTTGTTGTTTCTAAGCTACAATAGAAAGCTGAAATCTGCTAGAGAACATACAGAAAGGTCATATATTTGTTGTAATTAACTGGAATCTACAGATTAAAAATGCAATAAATAATTTTCAGATTATATATTGCCTGCCCTAAAATATTGGCACTAATTACCAATTGCTTAGTAGGAAACAATTTGATTTTTGGTATTAATTTTTAAAGCTCTAAATAGCTTAAAGTCTAGCTACTTGAAGAACCATGATTTCCATTGCAAACCTGTTTGGATATTCAGATCCATATGAAAAGTGACTCAGAAAAGGCCTTGTTTTTAACATATTTGCACTGAGTAATTAGTTGAATAGAAAGGCAGGAGAAAAATCTAGTAACAGAAATCTGCTTCAGTACTTAATTAATAAACAAGTAAATTAAGCTTCTCCTCACCAAATTTGTATCACTTTGATAAACAGCTTTTTTTTCACCTGTTTATTAGAATCAATTATTCTTTCTCATTGCAGTTAGGCTTTTTTCCTCTCTGTCTCTCTCACTGCCTCACCCACCAATCCCACATATTAATTTTTTGGGCAGATCGGCATAGTGGAGCAAGTGCTGAAATCCAAAAAGAGGAAGAAAAGAAATTCAAAGAAGTTGGTGAAGCCTTTACCATTCTCTCTGATCCAAAGAAAAAGGCCCGTTATGACAGTGGCCAGGATCTAGAGGAAGATGGCATGAATATGGGAGGTAAGTGCTAAAGAGGGCTTTTAATTAGTGGCTTTTCTGTGCATAGGTGCTTAGTTATGGAATGGGAACAAGAAGGGTCAACATATACTCAAAATTTTGAGAGAAGTGTTCTATATTTTTTCTATAATGTTATATATTATATAAAATTGAATTTGATTATTACTTTCATTTAATGTTTAATAGCATAATCAAAAGGTTTGGAGATTGAGGGTAAGGCAAATATAAGAAAAAAGAAAATGAATGCTGCAAAATATTATAGAAGCTTTTCAGAACTTTTATGACTATAAATGTAAATTTAAACAATAATTCTTTCTCATGCGCTTTTTTTTTCTTCACTTATACTTCCCAATAGATTTTGATGCTAATAATATCTTCAAAGCTTTCTTTGGAACACCTGGAAGTTTTAGTTTTGAAGGTGGGTGATCTTTCGCACTGTATATTAAAAAGGAGGAGGTCCTGCTTTTGAATAGAAAAGCAGCCTGTTGAGGCAGTGTCTCTCGATCCTTCATTTCAGGACAAGTGGGGAACCTATTAAGTTTTGGTCCCAGGAATTCAGTAGAGGTTGTTTCATTTATACAAAATATAGTTCCAACAGGGGACCCTAAAGTGTTTCACTCTCCAGATCTTAGTCCCCTTTAAAGGTACCAATAAATGTGCTTTAGGCCTTTGTGTGCTGTGCCCAAAGCTTATGTTTTATGTATTGATTGATATTTCATATTTCTAAACATCTCCCTCAGAGAGGGGCTTTGGGTGGTATATAATGTAATATAATTGATAAATAAAACAACATATAAACATTAGCATTAAATTAGGATTAAAAGTTTTAAAAGTATAGACTAATGACAATTAAACATCAAAAGGATAAAAATCCTAACATGGCCATTTAACAGTGGTTTTTACCAGGAGAGAGTGTGTGCTCTCTCTCTCTCTCTCTCTCTCTCTCTCTCTCTCTCTCTCTCTCTCTCTCTCTCTCTCTCTCTCTCTCAACTAGCAGCCCCAAGGCTGAGTGGCCTGGCCCTCCTGCAAGACCACAAAGCCAAGTTTGACCCCTTTGCAGAAGGACAAGATATTGGGGGCTTTATATGCATGATATCAGTTGTGGATTTTTTTGTTTAATCAAGGTTTGATTTGCTAGGAAATCTTACTTTCTTTCCTTGCCAGTCCCTCCAAAATGCATCTGTTCCCATAATATAATTTTTTTGTTCAATTTCATGGCTTTTCTGAGTGGGCTACAGAATCTGCCTTTGTTTAAAAGATCTCAGTATTGCAACAATTGCTTTGACGATTTGCTTCTTTAATTTGCTAATCTGTGCGTCTTTGTCTTTCAGCTTCTGGACCTGGGAATTTCTTTTTCCAGTTTGGCTAAACTGCAAAACAGATCCATTTCACCTTCTGAAATCCACAGTTTCCCTGACCTGCTTCATTTAATTTCAAGTTTCATCTTCCCTTCACTGCATCTCAGCATTTCTTAGGGCTGTGGCATTTTTTCTGTTGGAAACATCAATTTTTTTGTGTGCTTTAGAGTGTGATGAGAAAATCAGCATTTGAAGGGAAGGGAGCTGTTAAGAAATACACATTTTGTTTGTTTTATTGTTAACTTTACATAAAAAAGAGAGAAAGAGAGAAAAATATTTGGATTTCTCCATTAAATAATTTAAGATTCCTAAGCTGCTGGGACTTCATTCAGGGAATCCTTACATTTTGAAAACTGGATATGCCATGCCTTTATGGGGCTCATAATGTGGGGAAATTGAATTGAGTTTTTTTTACTTTGGTTGTATTGTACTGGCTGTAGCCATATTGAACCTTATTTCCAGAAACATTTCAGACACTTGAGAAATACAAAGAAGTTTATGCATTATTCCCTGAGTCATTTTTGGAACAAGAGTTGCCTCTTCTCAGCACTTTCTCTTAATATTCCCAGAGTCTCTTTCTTTGAGGAACAGTTTCTGTTTCCAATTGCTTGAGTTCTTCAGGAAAATGGTAAGGGCTGATGATGGCTTCCAGATCAACACGTACACTTGATTTCATTGAAAAGCGCATAAAATCTGAGGTGATTGTCAGGTGTTATGAAGGGTATATATATATGTGTGTGTGTGGTGTGTGTTGTTGGATCTGCAGTGCATATTTCACACATCCGCATCAACATGTGATGTCATGGTTCTTACTTGCATGCATAAGTCCACATTTTTGATGTTGAGATTTTTTAGAATTCATCAACATGTTGAATATGTAAAAGAAGAAATTCAGCATTATTTGAGGGGAGAGAACTCTAATAGTAGCTAGCCACACTGAAGTTCCTCATATTTTTTTAAAGTTTTGTTCAAGTTTTGTGTCATATTGATGACTACCTAATCCATAATGTCATTTCTGCTGAGCACAATTAGCTCATTCCTTTTTCCATAATTGTAAAAATCATAAGTAGACCATCATTTCTAGCAGTATTTCAATTGAACCACTTTATATTAGGTGGTTTTTATCTTTTTATGGTGAAACTCTTCCTTATAGTCTTCCTTAGTTTTCCTCAATTCAGGCTACATTGGCAGATGAGGGAAGCTGAAATCTCAGTACATCTAACGAAATCAAATTGGGGAAGGTTAGCCTAGAAGGTCAATATTGCGATGAATGAAATTGCTCAACCTAAGAAAGGAGTGGTGTTTGCATGTTTGCATTACAAACAGGTTTTAGCAACTTTCTATTTATGAGACCAGGGGAAACGTTGATGAACCTCAAAAATATAATCATTTACAAGATTTTTAAGCTATTCTTATGCAGTGCCTGGATTTCTACTCAGTGAAATGTCAGATATTGGTTCAATATGAAACATTGTTTTAAGAGGGGCCAGATTATGTCTTGGGAATAATCCTTTGTTTTTCAAGCTAATGAGTTCTGACAAACTTTAGGAATAACAATAAATTAGACTTTGTCCGCATCATTTCCTTTAATAGTTCCAAATTGAGATACTCAAAAAGTGGATAAAGAAATTGAGAGATGGCCAGGAATTAAATGAGAAACTAAAGAGGGAATAAAGTCAGGAGCTTGACCTCAGCCAAGATTGCATTACAATTCCTGACCAGCAAATGGTAAATACTGAATCGTTCAGGATTTCATTGCGCAGTCAATTTCTACTGGCAGAATTATTGGTTTTGGTTGAAGGTATATATTTAAATGAATTATTTGGTGGAATTATGTTGTGTCCATTCTCTATTAAAGGTAATGACAAACAGGATTGTTCAGAAACTGCACAAAAAACTATGAAATCAACCATCTCCCTCTTCATTATTTTATGTTGAAAAGAAGTTAAAACAACAGCATATTATCTTCAGAGACTGAGGTATCAAGAATCAATCCTGAATTTTATGAATTTTCTAGCTCTTTGTAATAATTTTATTTTAAAACTTCACAGAGGATTATAAGAATATTAAGAGTTTCAGTGGATGGCAGCCTGGTTTTCTGATCATCTCTATACAGCTGGGAGTAGTATTAAAGATAACTTATACAAGGTTACTTTCTCCATAACACAAGTATTTTAGATATTTTTTTGTCATACCCAAAAGTCAGTGATAAAAGATTCCTGGACCTTAAAACTGACTGCAACCTAAAGAATGATGAATGCTGTATTACTTTGCCTTTCTACTTTGTTTTTGATTATCTACAATTCTCATTGCAGTCATTAAGGATGTTACAACAATTTTTGCATTATATATTAGGCCATGTACAACCTCCTTTAGAAATTCTCTACCCTAATAATAATCATTTTATAATTTGAATTTGATTCATAGCTCTCAAATTTTGTTGTTTTTTTAATTAGCCTAGCTATCTTTAAGAGGTACCAAAAATTATGTGTGGCTGATAAGCAAAGGATTAAATTGCTGTCTGTCTGTAAAGATATGCATTGTCAGAATGTTGCAGTGATCATAATAAGGTGAAATGATACATTACCTTTTTGATATTACCCTTATGGAAACTCCCTGAGAATAAAGAATGGGTATAGAGATGGGCTCAAACATTCTTTTTACTGCTAGTTAGCTTTCCACAGGAGGAAGGCATACATTGCTGGTAATGTTAAGTAATATCACTTAACTATTTAAAAATATCACTTTTTCCCATCATATGTGTAGACAAAATCTCTAAGTAGGGAATTAAGAGCCAAGACTTTCTCATGTAGTAATGCATGAGACGATTTCTTTGGTGATGTAGATCTAAAAGCAGTATATTTTAGGAAAACTTGCAATTTTTGCCTACACTTGAACAGGTGTTCTTGCATGCATTGTGCTCTCTTTGCTGTACAGATACATTTACAAGGAATGCCTGAGCAGAAGGCAGGTAGACTAATGTTCAAGCCACCTGAAGAAAGGCTATTTGGTTAGGAATAGAGAGCATATCATTCTAGACTTCTTAATAATCCATTTGTTGCATGATCTGTTCTTAAAACAGCATCCTGTCCCCTTTACTTTCTCCTGTGGATAGTTTCAAACACATGGATAGCCTTACTGCCCCACTTCAACCTTTTCACTTATCTGAGGAAGATTATTTAAACAAAAAGTAGTGACTGTTCATTAAGCAGGATTATAATATGTTTATATGCAGCATTTCGAACCAGACTGGCAAATCCATATGCAATTAATATTAATTTTATTATAAAATGTATATGATGTACAAAAAATAAACACTCCAGATCTCACTGGTCTTATGCTTCTTTAAACTGAGTAGACACTGCTGAGACTGAGTGTGGTGTCATGATGCTGGGTTGAATAATTGGGAGGAAGGGGGAAAATCCCACAAATCTGATGGTCAGCGTTAAATTGTATGAGTTATGCAACTAGTTTATTTTTTTTATGGAAAAAGAAGTAGAGAAGAAGACCACTGGTGTTAAAATTGAGACCCAGGGGTTTTGATTATGTACTATGACTGTTCAATTTTTTTTTTAAAGTGCTTCACAACACACAGGTGTGTATTTGAATTACCTCTATTGGAATCTTTAAAGGAGCCATACCTTTTTCTTGCCTCATATAGCTGCTTTAGAAGCACTCTAGTTCTCTTTCTATGCATGGCTGCTTTGCTTTGGGGGCACCCGGAGACTCATGGAGGTGTCCAGAGATCTTTCCAAAGCAGCATCCATAAGCATCTTTCATAAGAAGAAATAACTGGTGAACATTTGTGCCCAATTTCAGTCCTTCGTCTATAGACCTATAAAAAGCCCAATCTCTTCTCTGCATATAATGTGGAACTTCAGGCTTGAGTAAAGAGTTCCGCCTAATGTAAATATCAACACAAACATTTTCTGCATGTTAATACATTTATTTCAGTGTATTTTACAGTCACTGTGAATCTTAACTATTCTGTAAAGTTGAACAAGAATTATTGTTTCAGATTACATCAAAACCATTGAAATGTGCTATTTAGGGGTTTTTAAAAAAGCTTTGACCATATTTGAGTTGAATTAACAGTAATTTGATGTTTAAACAACGTATATTTAAGAACTGACACAAATATTTTGCAAATGCAAGTTACATTATGTTTCCTGAGCAATAGCACAATCAGCTTTTTCTTGTATAGCTAAGCATTCAAGAAAAGTAAATGACCCAACCATCCACCTATCTTCCTTTATATATTGGATGTCTATAATTCTAAGTTTCAAGTGATGCATGTTTTGTAATTTATTTTGTAGCTTTCATTGTATAATAGTTAACTAACTCCCATTTTACACTAGCTCCCATTAAGAGCATAATAAATGTGAGCATATCAAAAGCATAACCACGAATTACATAGGACAACTATTATTGTCACTATTCACATTGATGGTGAAAAAAAACTGTTCTAGTCCAATGTTCTTGTCCTATATTTGATTTCCTATAGTCCTGAATTACCTGGCTTAAAGTCATTCACAGCAAAGATAATATTGATTATGAATGAACACTGTCGTTCTACCTAATTGAAGGGTATCAGTTTTGCAAAAGCTGGCCTTGTAGAATTTTTTTCTCAAATAAGGATCATGTTCATTGAGACTAAATCCTATGTGTTAGAGGTAAAGGGATGACTAACAATGTTATGAATAAATCAAATCAAAAATGGGGATTAGTTCAGTTATGTATTGCCCAGCTTTGCAATAGTGTGAAAGACAGCACTACTCTAGATAAACACTTGGGTTGCTGACATAATGTTTATACAGTTCCTGCTCAAAGGAAAGTAAGCAGACTATGTGTTCAACCAGACTTACTTGGGGGACCTTAAATCAGTTGTATACACAAAATATATACCATCAATAGAATATGGTTCAGCTGAGATTAGAACATGTTTGACTTGTCCTTATTTTTACAGGTTTAACTCATGCCATACTGCATATAAATATGTTACAAAATCAAAAAACATAAATTTTAAGTTTTAAAATATTAGTTTCTTCCTTGAAGTATGCTTTGAAATTGGTGAGTAGTTTCAAGTACTAGGTGCACTGAACTTCAACTTTCACAACAGTCATTGACAACAGGGGCAACAGCTACACTGGCTAAAGTTGATAGAAGTTAGAATCAGTATATATAAATAACATGTTGGGGAATTTGTGTATTATCTTAGAATATATTTCTTTGAACGTTGAAGGATTTACTTCTAAGTTTATATGCATTTTGATTGCACCATGAATATATTATATTCTTCAGAAAACCATTTATCAAAGCATTGAACACACCATCTATTGTCTAAAATACTTGTTCATTGATATATATTTTAGCGTACTGCCCGTTTTCATAAAATTTGAAGCTCTGGCGGATTTCCTATCCAATGCAATTAAAATCATAGATACATCCTTATTTGTGTTCCCTCTATACCCAGATACTTTTCTCAGATAAAATACTTTGGACAACTCTTATATTTAGATCAATTGCAGCAAGTTAGGATCCAGTCAAAACAACTAATTTTGCTATTGGATAATACACCAGTTCAAATATTCTTGTTGAAAAAAACTGTCTTAATCTCTGATTTTCATGGGCAATAGCTGAAATGTAATTTATTGGTATCTTAATCAGACAATAAAGATCTCTAGTAAAAATCTGCTGTCTGTCATTTAAAACAATACAAAACAGGATGGACAACAAACTAAGACTGCAAGGCAGATTCCTATTCTCTACTTTTACACTTCTGTTAGACGCCCATGCTTCAGAATTAAGATGATAGATAAGCAAAATATAGATCCCTTAAAGTTCTGTACAAGGAAATGCTGGAGGGGCTGCAGGCAATAGTATTTAATGTGCCAGCTTTCAGTGACATAACCCAGTGATGGCGAACCTTTTAGAGACCGAGTTCCCAAACTGCAACCCAAAACCCATTTAATTTATCGCTGGGTGCCAGGTGGGCATGGCCCACTGGGTGGGCATGGTTGTGGTCATGGCAGACTGGGTGGGTGTGGCCAAGGTGGGCGTGGTCACCTTAATGTTGCTTATGAGGTGATGCAGTGGGTTGTGCCCGGGAAAAGGAGAGCATGCGAGGCCAGGAGGGGTGGGGCAGTGGAGAGGGAAACCAGCCATCCTGGGATGCATCCAACCACGTGGGACCTCGGCGAGTTAGCGGGCAACTGATTGAAGAGGGATGGTTGCCATCTCCGGGGCATGGCATGTGTGCCCACAGAGGGCTCTGAGTGCCGCCTCTGGCACGCGTGCCATAGGTTCCCCACCACCGACATAACTGATACAATAGCAACGCTACAGACTGGCACAAAACTAAGACATGAAAAGCTAGGAATCTGAGTTGCACATTAACAAGATTTTTCCATTAAAGTATAGGCCTCTATTAATGCTTGGCTTATGTTTCAAAAGCTCATAAAATTACATAGCGGGAGGCTTCACACTTCCCGTTTTAAAAAAAATCTGGGAAAAGGCACCTGGTACTTGCTTTGGAGTGCTAGCAAGATCTTACTATGTTCAATCAAAATAGTGAGGCCTTATACTTCATTTTAGAAGTGAATCCTTTGAATATTCAATTACAAACCAGAAAGATAACATCTATTTCCTCTTTACATCAAGCTGAAATTGATCAGGAATGGCCGCCCTTGATTCTGAATCTCAACTGTGAAGAGGTTTCTTGAAACCAACTAGTTACTCTGTGGCTAACTTGAGAAGTGAATCTGAACGCTTTAATCCTAAGATTTTGCAATACATATTCACTTAACTTTGTCATGGTGTTTTCAGACTATGAGCAGCGGTATAACTGATCCAAGCTTTCTAAGTCTATCCTGAATTTGAATTCAAATGAAAAGATGATGTGAGGATGCAAAAGGTGGATCGTGAATTTTTAAATATTTTCCCTCCCCTCCCTCCAATACCTTTGCTGAAAATAGAACAGTATAAAGTTCTGTCTTTAGGGTTACCTACAGTGTTAGGTTTCTATTCTCAGGGAGTTTTTATGTCAGGAATCACTGAGGAAAGGTGGTTCTATTTGCCCCTCATGCTTTCCCTGGGCTCTGAAGTGGCACAATCCCCTCCTGCTGTAACTGTAATGTAGCTGTAAGGGAATCAGGTAGATTACAGCACAGGAACAGACCCAGTTCTGGCAAACTTGGAAAGGCTATTTCTCTATACTAAGAAAAGTAAACTTCAAAAGGCTGGAATAGATTCAGTTGTATTAATTTGAAAGGTATAAAAAAGTTTTCCATTTGAGGAATCCAGGCCTCTGAAGGTCAAGAAATATTCCTTAGAAAAGGACATCACTAAAATTAAGAAATTGCTTTAGTTGTAGGATACTACCATTTGTGTTGTAATGGAGAGGAGTTTACAAAACGTTACACGTTATATCATGCGAAAACAAGGCTGCAGATGGCACAAGAAAGAGCCCTTAGATGATGATACAGGAATTAAAGGGTGATCCTCGTTTACTAACTCCTTGAGTTGGCACCAGTTTTCCCTTTCCATAGTATCCACCAAAAATGGCCCTCACCTCAATCTTTTTTGAAAGCAAAAGCATCCACATGCCATTCCCAAAGGACAAAAGTTTCCCACCACCAATATCCCCAATCTCCTCGCCTTTGTTCCCTGCCTTTTCCAGTTTTGCAAATTCAAGAAGGTCAAGGCCAGTTTGGACAGCTTCTACCCCACTGGCACAGCCTAGAGTGATATGGGCTCGGCTGCCTTTTGGGAGGCTGACTGCTGGCTGTAGCACATCCACATCCCCAGGCCACAGAAGCATTTGTTGTTCGCTCATTTCCACACGGGCACCAGCAGTTCTTGGGGTGATGAATAGAGCAGATATGGTTAGGAAAAAAGATTTTCCATAAGAGGTCTTCACAATCTGCAAAAAAAAAAAAAAATACTCCTCTAAAGACAAGCTGTGTATTTAATTCAGATTAACCTGGCCATTCCCCCATACCTAATACACCTTCAGACCAGAATTACTCTCTGGATTCCCACCAACCTAGCCAGGGCTGTAGTTCAAAACTATCATCCGGGTTCTATACTGGAAAAGGCTGGATTGGGGTTGTAAGATTTAAGTGTTAAAAAAAAATAGATCCAATCTGGATGGATCACCAGGACCAGAGGTTTAGTATAGCTTTCAGACTCGTGCTGGAACCCATCTTTGGGGAACTTCTCTCTATTAGAATGTGTAGACACATTATTCCTCTAAACACGTGACACATTTTGGTAGAGAGAAGTCCCCTGAGAGGATGGTGGGTCCAGCACAAGTCCAAAAGTTCAGAAAACTAAACCTCTAGTGTTGGTGACAGACCCAGATTCAATGCTGCTACATTATCCTGGAACATGTATATTTGCCTTCATTCGTGAAAAAATTAGAATTCTGAAATTCAGAAACATTAACAGCCTCTCATGTTAAACTTATCTAATCATTCCATACTATTATCTATGTTTAAATAGTCGTTAGGTATGAGAAGAGAGGCAAGAGCATAAAATGCATGACTTGTAAATCATATGAGGTAAAAATAAACAGATGATCAAAAGAAGTGACACAGTACAAATGACAACAGATCGACTAAATTAAAATACCTAGGCCAGGGTAGGCAACCTTGACTCTTTTATGACTCGTGGACTTCAACTTCAAGAATTCCTGAGCCAGCCGTGCTGGCTCAGAAATTCTGGGAGTTGAAGTCCAAAAGTCATAAAAGAGCCAAGGTTGCCTATCCCTGGCCTAGGCAAATAACAAATATTTGATTTGTAGCAAATAAGTTATTCTCCCAAATGTACACCTGTGCATAGTGTATTCCACTTGGGATACTCATCACTAGAGTTCTCCCCTCTGAGGCCTCTATGAAAAAGCCATTTCTCTTTAATATGGGGAGAGTTGGTCCTTTAATTGGCTATGCAAAACACTATAATACTGTATGTTGCTGAACAATGTTTTTTTTTAAGTAAACCATATTTAATGGGTTCACTCAATTGGCCAAGATGAAAATCAGTTAGTCACATTTTGGCTAACAATGTTGTAGGTGTGTTACTTAAGTGTTCACTAGCACCTTCAATTGGGCATGGAAACTTTATGGCAAGCAACATAATGCCTTCCTTCTAGCTGCTTTAGTCAGAATGCTGGTAATTAAATTTGCAATAAGGAAATGTTCAGATTATGCTGTCTTATTCAAGTTAAATCCTTTGACCTCTGTAAAATACAAGAATCTGAACAGGATTTTATAATATTATTGCTTGGACTTCTAGTGCAACAATAATATAATGAAAATAAACATCAGATTGGTATGGGAAATGACTTTTTTCTGGAGCAATAAACAGTTGGAAAATGTAGAACCTGGACTTTGCTCATCTCAATCAGGTGTGCCACTCAAACCCCAAATAATACTAAGCCTTTTAGCATGTTGTGGCATGAGGATATACTGAGTTCTGCCAGCTCCCTTGACCCAACCCTACCCAGGACTCCATTATTTGCGAGCAAAATAAACACAGGCAGTTCGCATGTCTCTGCTCTTTCAAGCATAAAGCAAAGCCTGCACTAGGAACTGCTTCCACAAAAACCTTCAGGAGCATGTTTTCCTTTGATGGTGGATTCAGTGAAATCTATAATCTTCCCAAGGTGGATTTCTGTCCCAATCTGGACTATCCAAACTGGATCAGCTGGCAGGTCTTCTAACCTATTCTAGGTTAGAAAGGATCACAGCTGAGGAACTAGGGAATTAGGTGAAAAGTAGCCCAACTCATTCTTTGAGGCATATGAATAGATCTGAAAGACTTTAATACATGCGCAAGGAATTTTAAAGAAGTATGTCTCCCTCTCATTTTCTCACCGTACATATTTAGACATAGTTTTCCACTGGCTAAATTTGCTCCAAGAAAAGTCACTTATATTTATTTATTTATGAGACTTATATACCGCTTTAAGTGCAAGCACTCTCTAAGCGGTGTACACCAGTAAGCAATGTATATATATATATTTACATTGCCCCCAACAATCTGGGTCCTCATTTTACCTACCCCGGAAGGATATGCTCAAGGAAGATTACAATTAATAAAATCTAAAATTGAGCTGTTATAAAAATGGATGTTTCTATAATGAGTAATTTAAATATAAGTAAATTTTACAGGAGAGATTCTGTAGTGTCATATATAATTATTCCTTTCTGGCAATAAATTTTAGGAAGTAAGGTGAATTATATTTTTTTCAAGTTTATAGTAAATATTACTTTTAAGAGAAGATATCTTACATAGTGCATGAAATGGTGATGAATGTTGTGAACAATATTGATTTTAATAATAATAATAAAATTGGAAGGGACCTTGGAGGTCATCTAGTCCAACCCCCTGCTCAGGCAAGAAACCCTATACCATTTCAGACAAATGGCTGTCCAGTCTCTTCTTAAAAACTTCCAGTGTTGGAGGGCATTCAGATTCCTTTGTAAATATGCTATTTCTCTCTTTCAAAATAGTTGAGGGAGGGTGAGGAAGTTGGATTTTTCCCACCTAAAATCAGCTTGAAAAATTACATGCTTCCATCAAAATAAAAAGAAGAATTCTCACATCTTGCTGTGCATAATCGTCTGCTCCTGGAGCCTTCCCAAAGTCAGTGAATTTAGTTGTGGAATGCAAAACCCCTGGAGGCCTTTTCACAAAGTAGCTGGTCAGATCAATTTTCAGTTTGGGTTCTTCAGGCGGTTGCCCAACTGTAAAACAAGAAATAGAGCAAGCCTCAGCGTTTCAGATTCACTGTTTCCTTTGAATACACTTTTTACTCCACACTGTTTTTGTGTTTTTGCAATATTAGTTTGGCAAGACAGATCATAATAAAAGATAAGAAATATTTCACAGACCCATTTTGAATTGAGAATTTTTACAAAAACAGCCTAAAGAGTTTCCATATAAACAAGACAACTTGTAATTTCATTCAACACTGCTGAGCATTTTATGCCCAAAGTGGCATAACAATGTCTGCATCCTCTATTTTCCTGCTATGCTCTTCCCATCTCCCCATGTAGCATTCCCCATACTAGTGCTGGTTTATGACTGTTCTGGAAATGAAATAAAGAAAAACAGTAAATATGGTATGGCAAATTTATCCACCTCTACTTGCCTTCCACCAATAGGAAGGAGCTACTATTTAGAGGACTCTCAGTTCCCATCTTTGGTGACACTCACTACTACCAGGAAAGGAAAAAAACACACAATTCCTTTTTAGTCTTTAACTGTGGCCATTAAGTCAGACCACCGTTAATCAAACTTCACAATTTTAAGATGTGTGGACAACTCCCAAAAATCCCCAGCCAGCATATTATTTGAAAAAAAAAAAAACAGGCTAGAACCTGTTGAATTTGATTTATTTGCTATCTCCCCAACACCTATAGCCTTTTAAACTAATATTGCAGAAAATGATTGTGATTGATTAGAAACAAAATAAGTAGACATATAACTGACATCAGCCATACAGAAAGAATTTAGAAATAACTTTTGAAATTACTTAACTAAGGATATAAACTTTCTAACTGCAAATCGTGGCCAACCTTGGTATAGGAATATGGTTATATATTGGGAGTAGATTACATTTGATATGTTTAGTTTTGTTAGTTTAGAGGCAAAAATATAACATTTTCAAGTCAAATTCCAAGGATGAGCAATGATGGAAAATGAGAGTCTTAGGGTAGAATTGTTATTGCTTATTCAGAAACATTCACAGGAAAGGCAGGATTTAGCATTCATAAAGCTCATCTTTCATGAAAACAAAAAAGTTTTAAAAGTATATCCGAACCAGCCTAATCCTCCAGTTTGATTTTGTCTATAAATATTGTCAAAAGTCAATCAAAAGGACCAATTGCGTACGTGTATACATTATATATACTATACACCTACAGACATTATATTCATACATTTCAGCCATCTCAATAAAATGTTGAAGAGACTGCACACAAGTATATGTGTTAAATGGCACACAGCTTCTGTGCAGTAGATCAGAAAATTAATCTATTCTAATTTGGAAGTCTCTCTTAAATCTGTTTAAAAAATAAAGTGTTTGGCTTTTCTATATTAATCAGACAAACAACTGTGATATATTGGAGAATGAATACAATAGGCATAATGAAGGTAGTGACATTTGGTCAATTGCAGCCTTCTCTAAGCTAATGCTCTTTAAATATGTTGACATATCATTTATATCAATTCAGAACAGCTTACTGATGGTTGGAAGGATTGATGGGAATATGTTGCTTGCATTTATAGCTTGGAACAGAAGGAAGATAAGAGATTTCATGTTAGACTTTCCTAATTCAGCTGCCTCTACATATGTCCTATTATAATAAAAGAAAACTCTCCCCCCCCCACCCCCGACAGGTGAAGTGGACCCTCACACTCCTGGCTTTCCGTAAAGGTGTGAAAATGTAGCTCTGGGAACCCTCCCTGTGCCTTTAAACTAACTTGTCTAAGATTTTATACACTGTTTTTACATTTTTAGATATTTTATTGTATACTGCTTAGAGTCTTTGTTTGAGAGAGATGGGCAATTTAAAAATGTGATTAATTAATAAATATTAAGCCAACACAGGTTGAGGAGAATGAAACTCTAGTCCAAGTCATCTAGAAAGCAACCGGCTGAAGAAGTCTACAATTCCAGCACAATATGGTCAGGGAAGACTAATTCACTCTGTAGACCAAATCCTTAAAACAGAACTGACATGCATGTTATTTAGCAGAATCTCTTTATCTTACAGAATCTCTTTATGAGGATCTATTATCTATGCAGTGTTAGATCCAAGACAGCAAGCAACAAGGACTATAACAAAAATTCCTGAAAGTGGAGTAGACAAGGTTGCCACAATGATTTTATGGAATTCAAAGAATTTTTGGACAATATCTGGAAGACAAAATTCTAGAGCATGAGAACAGTTTGGGTTTAGTGAATCTTAGGGACACTAGAATGCAGAAGCATATCTAGAAATGGAAATACATTAGGAGTTCAGTGCATAGAAACAGATGGCAGCCAAGCAGGGGAATAGAATGACAGTTGGAGGGTGCATCCAGAAATTAGGATAATAGGCAGGAACTCTCAATATTATTTGGTGCCTCATAAAAATCTGCAATTTATTTTAAAGCAAACAGGATGTTGGGAAGACGTTCTTTTGCTCTTTACCAAAATATGGTTTGTGCAATAGATCTTGCTTTCTCCTTGGAGGTTCATTAATTATCTAGTGACAATTTTGAGAAAGCAGTGTGGAATACAGAAGGAAATCAAAACAATATCCCCAGGTTTTCCAGATTCATCATACAAACTAAAAAATTAGCATGGAATGGTTTTTCTTTTTACTTCTAAGATGAGATTTAAGAATGCTTCAGCAAATTATGCTAGAGTAAGCATATTAGCAAAGCCTGAAAAGCATTAAAAAGACTATACATATAAGCTAGTAGACAACCAATTTTCTATAAATTAAAAAGCTTGGGGGGGGGAGAGCACCCACAGTATTTATTTGACTCTTTTTTGAAGGCCTTAATATTAGCAAGCTCATCCAAAAATGCCTGCCCTGTCTTCCGCAAGTTCTCTGAGCTCCTTTTACTTAAAAACCATCCATAATACAAGGGAAGGAAGTCCTTTTCTAAACTGGGCTTCAATTTCTTTAGCTCATCAGCTGAAAGTTTCCACTGATTCTTATCCTTCAGCTGCAAGCAATCCATTTTCCATGAAGTTTTGGGTTCCACAATGACGACTTTGTAGCGATATTTGTCTGCAATGTCAAAAAGCTGCTCTAGTCGCTCCCGTTCATGATGCGTGTCATCTACCACCATCACACTGATGTCACGCTTGCAATAGTTAGCTAGATCCTCATCAACCTTGCTGTAATCATCAGGAATGGCACTCCGGATAGCAGGCTGGATTTTGTAGTGGTCAACCGAAATGACTTTGCAAGCATCCTTATACTTGTCTTGGATGGCCTGCGCCAAGGTAGATTTTCCACTGCCCGGTAGACCTCGGAGAACAAAAAAAGTTTTTGATTCCCGAATGGTGGAAATCGTTTCATCGTCATCCAGAAAGGGGAACTGCAAACTCTCAGGACGCTCTTTGGGCTGGGAGGACATTTTCTTAAAAATCTTTGGCAGGAATACGTGGCTCTTCCGGGCGAAGCCTTTGTTCTGAAATCGAAAAGGAGAGAAAGAGGGAGGGAGAGAGAGAGAGAGAGAGAGAGAATAATTGTGTGGTTTTATTGGAACATTCCAGAGAGAGAGATACCATCTTTCTTCTTCATAATAGGCCACTGTTTTCAATCTCAACTGAAGGGGGGATTTTTTTGTTATTGCTCCTCCTCCTGCTGGTTATTCAGATGAGCACAAATGACATAGTGATGGTTGTAAATAGCACTATTATGTCAGAGAAGAGCTCAGTGCATTCCAGAAGTAGCAGCCCTTTCAGTTAGCTGTAGCAAAACTCAGTCTAGACCTACCTTTCCCAATGTGGTGCCCTTCAATTATGCTAGACTACAGTTTTCATTGTCAATATAACTAACTGTCCATTGGCTAGTAGAAAGTGATAGGGTCTGTAGTTCAATTTGTCTAGCCAACCTGTGCTATGCTGTGCTGGGGAAGATGGTTTGTCCTGTAAGGCTGGGGCTTGCCCAATTCTGTATATACTTCATATGAAGTACAGATAATTCTCGACTTACAACAGTTCATTTAGTGACCGTTCAAAGTTACAACACTGAAATAAGTGACTTATTATAGTTTTTCACACTTGCGATCATTGCAGCATGCCTGTGGTCACATAATCAAAATTCTGACACATGGCAACTGTGTATATATACATACATACATTTGTTGAGTGAGTTTTGCCCCATTTTACAACCTTTCTGGATATAGTTGTTAAGTGAATCACAGCAGTTGTTAATAGCACAGTTGTTAAGTGTATTTTGCTTCCCCATTGACTTTGCTTGTCAGTGGATTGTAAAGGATTATCATATGACTCTAGGCTACTGCACCATCATAAATAGGAGCCAGTTGCCAGGCATACAAATTTTGATCGCAGGACCATGGAGCGGCTGCAAAGGTCCTAAGTCATTTTTTTCAATGCTGGTGTAACTCCAAATGCTCCCTAAACAGACAGGTGGTGTCTGTGATCTTATACACCTTTTCAGCCTTAATGAAGTATTTTGGGAGGAGTCAATGAAGATTACTAAGGTCATTAAAATTATTGTTGTTGAAAAGTTAAAAGGTAGACATAGGAATGGGCAATTGCCAAGACTGATAAAATTAGATATGTCCAAAAAAAGATACAGAGAAATGGGGGAGCAATAGTTGTTCGAAGGGGATTTTAACTAAAGATTACTAGGAAAGATTGACTTTATTCAAGGAAATAAATTCTTTCAGATGTGCAGATAATCCTTGACAACTGAGCCCAAAATTTCTGTTGCTAAGGGACACAGTTGTTAAGTGAATTTTGCCTCATTTTATGACCTTTCTTGCCACAGTTGTTAAATGAATTGCTGTAGTTGTTAAGTTAGTAACACAGTTGTTAAGTGAATCTGGCTTCCCCATTGACTTTGCTTGTCAGAAGGTCGCAAAAGTTGATCACATGATCCCCGGACATTGCATCCGTCATAAATATGAGTCAGTTATCAAATGTCTGAATTTTTCACCGGAGCATGGAGATGCCACAATAGTCACAAATGTGAAAAATTGTCATAAGTTACTTTTTTCAGTGTCACTGTAGTTTCAGTCATTAAATGAACTGTTGTTAGTCAAAGACTACCTGCTTTGAGCTTCTGAGATGATACTAGATCAATAATAATAATCTCTAAACTGAACAAAGTGCTTAAGAAAGGGAAAAAAGGGGAAAGAGGCAGCATGTATCTGAAATTATTAGAAGGCAATACTTTTAAAGCATACTTTAAAATGAGAAGTTTAAATGGCTGACAGTTCTGCAGAAGGGAAGGGAAGGGAAAACAGAAGGAAGGAAGGAAGGAAGGAAGGAAGGAAGGAAGGAAGGAAGGAAGGAAGGAAGGAAGGAAGGAAGGAAGGAAGGAAGGAAGGAAGGAAGGAAGGAGACTTTGGCCCCTAATCTCTGAGAAACTGGAAAAATATATTAAAATAAAATCTATGTTATCATTTATTCTGAGTTCTAAACCACAATGAAGATCCTGGCTGTTTGGCCAAAATAATGCTATTTTGAACTAGCATTAGAAATACTATTGCAATATTATTTAAAAAGCCAACAATCTGGGGACAGAATTACAATAGTTAAAAAAACAAAACAAAATAATACTAATGGAAAGGGGGGAGGAGAAACCATTGTAAGTACAAATTGTTTTGCAATGAGACTGAAATAATGCAAGCTTGTGTTAAAACAGGTGGGAGGAGACGCACACAATGGTACCACACAAGCCTGTCTTAAGAGGAGAACTTGGATTCATTTCTAGAAGAACAATTTGTCCCATTCTGTGCCACACAGGAACACACACACCCCACCCCTGCCCTGCCTATCCCACAAATAGGCAATCATGGAGGAACTCATAGCCAGCACCCAGCAGCATAGTTCCACTCACACTCTTACAAAACACATTGTGATTATATATAATTATATGTGTTATCGTCTGCCCTGCTCCTCCCCAAAGACCCATGTCATCATAATCTTTGAATTTAATTTTGTCTTTTGAAAGCTGATCTTATAGCTCTTGCCTAAAAAAATCTGAGCTCAATTTATGGGACAAAATATTTCCCTTCAGATCAAAATTCTTAGCTTTTGTCACATTCAAATTCAATAAATTCTTAGTTTTAGTGCTCCTATTGCTCATTTTGCTATTTTTCTTCACCAGATTTGTGGATGTCAACACTGAAAGTCTCAGCCACAGCCAAACTGCCTGAGAATTCTTTCCAGAAGAGTATACTCAAGTCTGCAGTTCAGTTAGGCTGAACTTGTTTGTAATATTTGGTAAATTGAAAAATTATCTTGCAAGAGGCAAGCAAAAGCAAAATAAGGAAATAATTGAGGACACCAGTTAGTTTAATAAGAGAAGTAGCATTTAGAGGAGAAAAAATATGTGGTTTCACATATACAAAAAACAAGTGTTTCTTTTAATTCTTTTGTTGTAAACGATTTCTCTGCTTTTGTCAATTTTTTGACATTCATTCTGGAGGTTCCATTTTTTTAATGGAACCACATTTACATGGAGGGAAGTAAGTAGTGGGCTACCCCAAGGTTCCATTTTAGGCCCAGTACCCTTAATATCTTCTTAAATGATTTAGATGAAGGAATAGAAGGGGAATTCATCCAATTTGCAGTCAACACTAAACTAGGAGGAATAGCCAATATACCAGAAAATAGGCTCAAAATGCAGATGGATCTCTTCAGACTTGAAAATTAAATTCACCATAGAGAAAAGTAAGGTTTTATACTTAGGCAAGAAAAAGCAAATGTACAGGTACAGATTAGGTGGAACCTGGCTCAATAGCAATAACTGTGAGAGAGATCTTGGAGTCCTAGTTTGCAATCACTTAAATATGAACTAGCAGTGTGCAGCAGCAACCAAAAAAACCCAGTGCAATCCTAGGTTGCATTACCAGGGAGATAGAATCAAGATCATGTGAAGTACTAGTACCACTTTACAAAGCCTTAGTAAGACCACACTTCAAATACTGCATCCAGTTTTGGTCATCGTATTATAAAAAAGATGTTGAGACTCTGGAAAGAGTACAGAAAAGAGCAACAAAGATGATTAGAGGCTAAAACATATGAAAAACTATTGCAAAAATTGGATATGTATAGTCTAGTGAAAAGAAGGACTGGGGGCAACAGGATAGCAGTGTTCTAATATTTAAGAGGCTGCCAGAAAGAAGAGGGGATCAACATGATAGGAGTGACATGATAGCAGTATTCCAATATCTCAGGGGCTGCCACAAAGAAGAGGGAGTCAAGCTATTCTCCAAAGCACCTGAAGGCAAGACAAGCAGCAATGGATGGAAACTAATCAAAGAGAGAAGCAACCTAAAACCAAGGAGAAATTTTCTGACAGTTAGAACAATTAACCAGTGGAACAACTTGCCTCCAGAAGTTATGGGTGCTCCAACACTGGAAGTTTTTAAGAAGAGACTGGATAGCCATTTGTCTGAAATGGTATAGGGTTTCCTGCCTGAGAGGGGGTTGGATTAGATGACCTCCAAGGTCCCTTCCAACTTTATTATTATTATTATTATTATTATTATTATTAGTAGTAGTAGTAGTAGTAGTAGTAGTAGTAGTAGTAGTACCTATTTTCCAAAGTTACAGAAGGGAAGACAAGAAACAATGAATGGAAACTAATCAAGGAGAGAAGCAATCTAGAACTGAGGAGAAATGTCCTAACAGAACAATTAACCAGTGGAATGGCTTGCCTTCAGAAGCTGTGGGTGCTACATCACTGAGACTTTTATGAAGGGACTAGACAGCCACTTGTCTGTAATGGTATACGGTCTCCTGCTTGAGCAGGGGGCTGGATTAGAAGATCACCAAGGTACCTTCCATCTCTGTTATTCTTTTATCCAATATATACAATTTTTAATAAAACAATTTTATTTAGACACTACACCTTTTTTACTGTGAGTGTTTATAATGTTTATTTCAGCCTTATAAATAAGTCCATAACATTTTTATTACCTACATTTTAGTCATTGTGATATAAAAAAATAAATATAACTCAGATGGTAAAAGTCCTCCATTGAATGAATTGAAAATCATTCTCGTTCACTATCAGTAAATGTGTATTTTTTACTAGCAGAGTTTACTGCTCAGAAGTCAACTCAACTTGTAACACAAAAAAATATAGATTCATATCTTTGAGCCTCTGTCTTGATGTTCAAATCAAGTATAACTACAGTATCTATAAATAATTATAGAAACACATACTTTGCCTGTCCCAGCTTTGTTCCTCCAAATATGTGGGACTTCAAATCCATAATCCTGTACTATCAAAATCATTTAACTAAAGGAATAGAAGACATAAAGTCCAACATATCTGGAGGGCACCAGACTGAGGAAAGCTGATATAGTTGGTTGGTAGTGTTATTAATGTCTACACTGCAGTGTTGACTTTCCACTGGAGACATACTAACAGTTAACTCATGAATGATATTGTGAATTATTTGTATTTTACCAATTCACACTTTTC